GCTCCCAGGTACTATAGCCACGAGGTCCACAGCGCAGCCTTTGTGCTGCCGCGCTTCGCAAAGGATGCCCTGAAGCAGAGCGGCCTCAGCTTCAGCTAACGCACGCAGCCGCCGCCACTCGCGGGCCAGCCGGACAAGAACTGCTGCGTTTTGCTTTCACACGCCCTGCGCTCCGCCAGCAGCGGCTCTGCGCGCCCCGGCCGCGGCAGGCCAGTGGGCGGCGGGCGGAGGGGTGTGAGGGCTTTCCTACCACACACCAGAGCACCCCCAGCCACTCAACAGAGCATAATGCAGCAGCTTTTGCACCAATAACTTCCTTTTGCAGCAGCAGGGCGCTCTCGAGTGAGACGGAAGGCATGTTGCGACCCCTTTGAACAGTGTAACCATCACGTATTCACCCGGTGTGGCTGCACACTTGCTTCCAACATGGTCAAGTCAACAGCAGTGGAATTGACGTCTGGTATGCGCCCGAGAGGTTACTGCCCCCATGTCAAGGGGTGGGGGAAGGAGCATGGCCGGCTACGCCGTGCGCCTGCCACCGCCTTGGCGCGTGCTGGCGCTCCTCCTGCTGCTGCCGGCAGCGCCGCTGCCAGCGCCCGCCGTTCCCCCGCCGGCGCCGCCCTCCCCTGCGTTGCCGTTGCCAGTGCCGCTGCTGCCCGTGTTTCGGGCCTCCTTGCTCTTCCCCAGCCTGATCAACTTCGGGGATTGGTAGTTTTCCCTGTTATTGTAGCCGTAAAAGTCCTGAGGGATGGCGGGATGGCGTTTGCATGTGTACAAGAAAGAGGAGACACAAAGAGAGAGGGGGAGGGAGACGGACAGCGATAATGAGAGAGGGGGCCAGGAGGAAACGAGAAGGAGAAAGAGAGAGTGTGCTTGGTTGTGTGTGCGTGCCTGCGTGCGCGTGAATGTATGTATGTTGAACATGGGTCGTGCGTATGCACAACGCGTGTGCGAGCCCGCGTGTGTCATCGGCAGGCAGTTTCGCGCCGCCACTTGGCCATGCGTCCCCTTAAAATGAGCGCCAGCACGGCCTGTTGGGAATGCATGGTTTGCCCCGGCACACAACACGTGTGGGCCATCGCAAAAATCAGGCACCCGCCCACTCACCACGCTTTTCTCCAAAGCCACCAGCCGGCCCTGTTAGGTGGGTTGTCGGTGGAGCAAAAACGGTGAGTGGGAGCAGGCCAGCAGATTAGTCAGCAAGCACGCACACAGTTGCACACTCGCAGTTGAGCACACTCGCAGTTGAGCACGCAACAAAGTTGCCAGCAACCCCACACACATCATGTCTCCTCCGCCATATTTGAATCACACAACATGTCTCCTCCGCCACATTTGAATCACGGTCCAACCCCCACACCAACTCACGGCCCCACGCACCGCCCCTGCCCCTGCCCCTGGTCCCACCTCAGCCACGGTCTCAACATCAAAATCAGTGATGCCGCACCCCTCCAGCTCCCGCGCGATCTCGTCGGCCCAGGGCGCGAGGCGATGGGACACAAACACGGCCTCGGGCTGGCAGGGTTTCATGCCGATAGGGAAGAAGCAGGCCTCGTAAAACGCGGTCATGACCTGAGGGGGCACCAGGGTTTGGAGCGGATCGATGTTTCGACGCAAGCCAGGCGGTCGAGGGTCCCGAGCCAAGGACAGCGTCGGCACAAAGGCGCCTACAGTGTGAAACAGCAGCACCCTGTACATGGACAGCGACTGGCCGCTGAGGGCCAGCCCCAAGCGTTGCGCTGCGCGCATCGCCGAAACCCCTAGCGGCGCGGCGCGCGGCGAGAGACACCAAGAGCCGGGCAAACGGCCCGAGCGCCGGGATGACGCCGTCTCGTCGGCCCCGTCACCTGCTTGGTCCGCGGCTCCCCCCAGCAGCTGCGCGTCGAAATCAAGCCCGGCCGCTGGTTGTTGGGGCCAACGCGGATCTCAAACCTGGGCAGAAGAACACGAATGGTCAGATGTAGAATATTGGTGTGATGTTTTGTTGGTTTGGCAAAACAGCTGACTGTCAGATGTGGCGCCCTTGCAGGCGGGCGGCCAGGAGCGGCACGGTGGAAACCCGGTAGCCTGCCCCCAGCATTAAGCAGCGGCCCCTCCCTCATTCCCTCCGTCCCTGCCCTCCACACACGCGCGGACGCCACTGCCGCGAGCGCGTGGCACTCACCTGATGAGCCCGTTGGCGGCGCTGCGCAGGGGCGAGTCGTGCCAGGTGATGGTCCAGCAGTCGTTATCCAGGGGCAGCGCCCGCACGCGTGGCTTGACGCCGTCGCGCAGCGCGCGCCCCAGCGCCGCCGCCGGTTTGAGCTCCACAGAGGCGATGTTCCTGCGCCGGGCGATGGGTTCCAAAAGCCGCTGGATGGGAGGCTGGTGGATAAGGGGCAGCGGCCACGCAGAGGGTGTCAGGGCCGCGGCCCCTGTTTACTTTGCAGGGAACGAAATGTAGGTGTGTGAAGATGGGGAGGCTGGGGCAGGCGTGCAGCAGCAAAGCCCACCCTTCAGGCGCCGCCAGAGTTTCGAGTTGCGCACTCGCCCGAAACAAAAAGCAGGTGGCACCAGGACCCTTCGACCCCCTGTCGGTGTGACTAGCAACCGGACCTCGACCAACGCGCGCGCACTTGCTGGAAGTGGCCAGGCCGTGGGCCTTGAGTTGGGCGTTGGCCGCGTCGATGTCAATCTGGGACACGCCGTTCTGCCGCACCATGGGCGGGCGCAAGCCCAGCCACTTGTAATACCTGAAGAATGCAGTGCATGGGGGATTGGAAACATTCAAGGGGGTCAGATGGCACGAGCGCGCTCTGTTGCGCTGACCATGGCGCAAGGGGGGTCCGGGGACACACCCAACAATACAAGGTCTGCAAAATCGCGTCCAGACACGCAGACCGCAGGGGCCCGCCTCAGATCAGGACGGCTGCATCAGGTGCAGCAGGGTGCCCAGCACCTGCCAAGCAAGGGCTCACTTGGGCAAGTCGGTTGCCACGTCTGGAATGTCAGCCATGACCCAGGGCGCCTTGCCCCTAAGACCTGCCACCGCCTTGTCGCACCGCGACTAGGCAAACAGGGAGGGTGGGGGCGACATGTGCACGCGCCCGACACTCATCGTTGGACCGTTGCGTTCTGGCAGCTGCAGCCGAGGTGGCTGCGCCGGCGCCGGGCAGAGGGCCGCTGCGTGTGCTGCCTTGGCAGGGCGACAACCGTGCGTCCAAGGTTGCGGCATCACGCACCCTCGGCAGCACAAAAATCCCAGGCCCTGACCCACCTTGATCTCGTCATCGACGGCCCCAGCCAGCTCGATGGCTGTGGAGTAGCAGAGCTGCGCCAGCTGCAGGCGCTTCTCAGCTGCGAAGCAGTCGCCCCAGCGGACCCACGCCTTGGTGTTGCCGGGCTCGAGGTGCACCGCGCTGGACGCCGCCTGTGTGGCGCGCGCAGTCTGGGGTATCCGGGGAGGAGGGGGTCGGGGAAGGGATGCGAGCGGAATGGGTCTGCGGGGGGATGCAGCGCCATCGTGGCTGTGGCGAGCAGCTTTATCGCTGCAGCTGTCGACTGTGGGGGGCTGGCCTGCCCTCACAGTCTGGGCGCAACAACATGAGGATCTCGAAGACTCAGGTTCCAGAAGACGTGGGCAGTTAAGAGGGGCTGGCAATCAGCATGCGGCTGCTGCACCACCGTCAGCGCGCGGCATGCTGTGTGCTGCCGACGTGGACACTACGCCTGTCTGTGCGCAGCAGGCGGCCAGGGCGACGCACGTGGCCCATCTTGAGCCAAACAAGCGCCATCTATGGGTGTACGCGGCGATGGGGGAGGGCGATGGAGGGCGTGTCGAGTGACAACATCGCGCTGCCTGTCACTTTGCGGCACCGAATCGCGGCCGTAGAGTAGTAAAGGCTGCTTGCCCCCCTTCCTTCGCGGCAAGCCCCGAGCGAGCAGCATTTTCACAGGCTCTCTTTGCGCCTTCTCCTGCGCGTAGCTGCAGCCAGAACAGAGCAGCTGCCATGACATCTTGGGTCTCAAAAGACCACACAGCAGCTGGCGCGCAAGTGCAGTGCTTGCTGTGTGCGCCTCCTGCGCTGTGCTGTGCATTTCGGAGTCGTGACCGCGCGCTCTGCGTGCCACGCAGTCCAACCCAGGCAGGCCCCAGGCCTACCGCTGCCAGCGAGGTGCGACCCACGTTGTTGAAGGTGCTGACGTCACTGCAGTCCAGCAGGAGGGCGTCGGAGTAGCGCCGGATGGCCCCGCGCAGGTCCCCGGCGGCAAACGCGGCGTTGCCCTCCAGCCGCGCGGCCAGCGCGCGCCGCGCGTCGTCTGCGGCCGGGGGTTCCGCGGATCAGGGTGCGGCTCGGCCGCAGGGGAAAGGAGCGCCAGGGAGAACCCACGAGCAGAAGGGCGCGAGCAGGAGTCCTGCGTTCCGAAGGCATGCGCGCGGACTAGTGGCCCTGCAGCCCACAGCGCGCCGCCCATAGCAGCCCCATGCACCAGCGCCGCCCGCTCACCCAGAAGCTCCGTCCTGAGGGCTGGCGCGCGGCGCCTCGCGTGGCGGTTGGACAGCGGCCGCAGCGTCTCGAGGCAGTCCCGCAGGTACTCGCCCGCCAAGAAGCCCCACATGCCGTTGATCTTGGCCAGCGCGCCGCAGCCCTCGACCCAGTGGAGCAGCTGCTCGTCAGATGCCTGCGTGGGGGGCCATCGGGCGGGACGCGGGCACACTCGCCGAGAGGTTGCGGGCGGGGTGTACAATTTGCTGGGGCGAGCTTCGAGGCACCACCTGACTGGGATCAGCCGGCCTGACCTGCACCCACAGCCAACGGAGACTGCTTGCATCAGGCGACCACAGGCCGTGCAAGGCGCCGTCAAGCTGCGGCCGGCCAGTACGTTCGAGGCTCGCGCCCAAGCACGCACCAGCTTCTGCACGGCGAGCATCAGCCTGCAAGACGAATGAGTAGGGAATGAGAGGCGCACGGCCGGGCGGAGTCAGCATGGTTTGACAACCACCCCAACTGCGAGATGCAAGGAGGTGGTGATTCCTGCGCCAGCCGCCCTGCAGAACAGCACTCCGTGCAGGCTAGACGCGACTGCCGCCCGGGCGTGTTGAAAGGGAGAGCCCAATCTGGGCCAGGCCGCGATAGCCATGTGCTCGCGGTGTCATCACCAGGTCAGGCTGACGTAGGGCGTGTCGCGACGCCTAAAGATTGGCAGTCCAAAGTCTGAAGGGGTTGTCGCGGTTGAGGTGCGGAGGCCGCGGCGCGTGCGCGCAAGGAGGTGGCTGTGAGGGGCCAAGCGGCGCTAGCGGCGGCCGAGGGCGACCCCGATGTGGCGTTCAGCCCAGGCAGACGGCGGCGTCTTACACAAGCAGCTGCGTGTAGGCAAATGCAGAGACCGCTGCTCAGGTCATCCAGGCTGCAAGGCCCGCATGTGCCCGGTCGTTGCTTTGTTGCCAGCCCTTGGTATCCGCGTGAGCCCGCACCTGGGTCCTCCAAGTCTAATAGGTCCCTGTGGCGCGGACCCTCCTCTGCGGACGACCTGGGGGCGGTGATGTTTGTCGTGTGTGTGTGTGTGTTGTGTGTGTGTGCGTGTGTACGTTTGAGAGTCGGCGTTATGCGCTTTGGGGGTGAGGCACGTGGGCGTGTTGCTGCCAGCCACTCCTGACGGAGGCAGCCACAGGCGTCACGAAAAATTCAAGCGTGTGCCAGACATGAACATGCACAATTGCGTCACAAGCACACCCAAACATAGACAGCTTGCAAACCCACTTACGCACTCACACATAGATTCACACACTCACTGCAAGTAAAACAGACACGCACTTGCATAAGGGATGTGCAGACGCGCACACATGAAACGCGCACACACACATGCGCACGCGCACACGCACGCACGCACGCACCCATAAACACACACGCACACACACACACACACACACACACGCAAGCGCGCACATAAACACATGCTCGCACATGTGCATGACGCTTTCACGATATCACACAAGCACATGCACGTGCTGTACACAAACACACACTCACCTTTCCCTTTCACACACACTAGTTACAGGCATACACACACGCGCCCGACACACGTGCACACACACCATGCACAGGCGCGCGCACACGCGCACCTCCAGTACACAACCTCAGCCTGGTCTCGTGCCAGCAGCAGCCTCTCATCATCCTGACAGTCCCGCGCCTCCCGCTGCAGCGCCGCGATCACCGCCTCTTCGCTTTCCTCCTCCTCGCTGGCTGAGTCAGCAAACAGGTCGTCATCAGTCGGCCGGACCTGCTCCGGCCTCCCAACTGGCTCCTGCTGCTTGGACTGCTGCTGCTGCTGCTGCTGCTGCTGCTCAACCTCCTGCTGCTGCTGCTGCTCAACCTCCTGCTGCTGCTGCTGCTGCTGCTGCTGCTGCTGCTGCTGCTGCTGCTGCTGCTGCAGGCGCTCCTGCTGCTGCCGGCGCCGGCCGGCCCCCCCTTGCCGCCGGTCCCCCTGGGCCCTCGCGCCCCTGCCCCCAGCCGGCGCCAGCGCGTCCATCACACGCGTGCGCCGAGCTTCAGCGCGCCGCTGCTGCTCAGCAAAGCGCACCCCTGCCATGGTGGCCAGGATGTCCCGGGGGGTCTTGATGTGCCTGCGGTCATGATATGGTGTGGGGGCCCACAGCAGGCAGCCAGTTGTGGCGTGGAGCTCGGCGCTGGCTGGTGCGCCAGCAGAGGCGTGGCAAGCGCAGGGAGGTTCAAGGGCGGCGTTTGGGTCGGGGCGAGGCGGTGGCCGGCAGAAAGCGTGCGGCCAGCGCGCCACGGGCGGCCAGGTGGCGTTGGTGGGACTCACGTCAGGGCCAGGGGCACCGCCGACGCCGCGAGCCACTCGCGCGCGGGCGCGTCCGCCGCAGGCGCGACGCCGGCCGCGATGCTGACGAGGCGGTCCGCAATGGCCAAGGTTTGGTCCTGCGAGTACCACGCCTCGCGGACGTGAAGTTCCCACCTGGGAAGTTCCCGCCATTGCGGGGGG